TCCTGCCCTGACATTCCATTATTTTTTAACAAGGAAAGTCTACGTTTACCTTGAATATTTCTGCCTAAAATGCTCAAGTGCCCTCTCCCGATGACCTAACCTAGTAAGCCTTTTTTTCCAACAACTCCACACCATGTTGTTGTTTTTACTTTGTTTTCTTGGTTATTTAAAGCCCTACTATTCTAGTCAGACCTGGAAACTTTAACTTCTTCTCTCATCATTTCATGTTTGTACTTATGGTATTCCCAGACTAGCTGTAAACTTCTTGTACCCATTTAGCACAGTGCTCAGCTCAAAAATTTTTATTCATTGGTTTCTGAATAATACCTTTCTACTTATAAAATGCCTTTGTATCAGGAAAAAAAAAAGTTGTATTTCCCACTTTAGTACTATATTTCATATGTTCACCAACCCATAATTTAACAAACATGAGTTCTGGGCCTACATCAAAAGATAAATTGATCCCAATTATATACTTAGATTCAGAGGTATGCAATCAGTTGGTGATGGGCTCTGCAGCTATAAGGTCAAGAAGAGATGGATGGGCCGAAACCAGTTTGGCTCAGTGGTAGAGCGTCAGTCTGCGGACTGAAGGGTCCCGGGTTCGATTCCGGTCAAGGGCATGTGCCTTGGTTGCGGGCACATCCCCAGTAGGGGGTGTGCAAGAGGCAGCTGATTGATGATTCTCTCTCATCGATGTTTCTAACTCTCTATCCCTCTCTCTTTCTCTCTGTAAAAAAATCAATAAAATATATTATAAAAAACAAACAAACGAAGAGATGGGTGGGAAAAATTGAAGTTTCACGGTGGTACAATTAAAAGAGGAAGCTGTTTGGTGGAGGGTAGGAAATACAAAAGATAGACATCAGAGGTAGAGAGAGACTGTCTCCAAAAGCAGTCTTGATTGCTAGCAGCCTTCTAGCTTCCAAAGTAGTCTCTGAGATTGTGTTGTGCTGAATTTTCTACCCTTGGATTTCTATGTGCTCCCCTCTTAGAGGCCACATAACCCCCTGATCCTGAGCCGCCTTGGTGTCTGTTCCTAAGGACAGCACCTTCATGCCTTCAGATCTTGGTTCTGAACTTTTACCTTCTAAGAGAGTTCTCATCATCACAATGTAAAGAACCGCTCTCCCTCTACTCACAGCATTCTCTTTATCATCTGGTTTCCTTCACAGCATACTTATCACTATTAGAAATCATCTTATCGGTTTATTGTCTCTCTCCAATACTTGAGGGTGAGCTCCTCAAGAACATCAATCTTACACCTAGAAGAGTACCTGTCATATAGTAAGCAGTAAGAACTCAATAAATATATTTTGAATAAAACCTCTAGCTGTTCTGCTCTTTTAAAACCCACATTTTTAAGATATATAAAACCACCTCTTGACATTATTCTACTTTCTTCCATTAAGTGGCATATGGTAGAAAGTATGATCAATGAAAGGTTGCTTAAATCTATGGATATAAGACAGGAACTTTTAGCAAGTATACCAGAGTAAACTGTCATATCTGGTCTATCACCAACTCTAGCTCTTTCTACAGTGTGTGGGCCAAGATACTTCTTTGGAAATAAAATCTGCTTCTTATTACTTTCCTCCAGATAGGCGTTGGCTTTTTCTAACTTAAAATTTATTACTTTCTTTTTCAGGATTCTGGGTTGACTATTATATAATTCCTCAAATGTCAACTTATTGAAACCTAGCCCGTAATTTCCCTCTTTTTCTATAATAAAACATCTTAAACAGAAACAGAGCTATTATCAGGTGCATGACAGATCCATTGCATTAAGGTCCCATCCCATCCTACAAGGGAACACTAGAAGTGTGTGTTGGGGTGCAGGAGTGGGGGGGCAGGGGTGGAAGGAAAATGCACTGGAATAGGAAGTGTGGCATTACTCCAATGTAGAGGGTGTAGTCAAACTTCCCAAGAGAGGATAATCACTGAGCGAGTAATATCACTCCCCCATCTTCACACCCTCTCCAGAAGAGGAATGAAAATCTGTGTCAGAACAGATAAGACTTGTAAAATCTTATACCAGAGTTAACAGGCATATCCAATCTTGAATGGGGAAAAGAGCAGGAATACAAGCTCAGCCTTCACTGAAATACAATTTAATACTGTGTTCTCAACTTTTGCTTAGGATTGAAGAACATTTTCCACATTTTCTGCAGATACACAGAGGAAGCTTTTGTCTATTGTAGTACTCAATGGCCTTTATGTAAAGAAACAGGTAATAAATGTTTCCTAGAATTTAGTACAAGGAACAACTCTTACATTTAGATCAAACTGAAATTTTTCTTCTTAGCCAAACAATGCAAACTCTTTGCTGTCATGGACTTTTAGAGCTGGAAGGGCCTTTAGAAATCCCAGGTGCTAGGAAGAAAAAAAGTTCTAGAAGCAAACAAGTTTTTATATTTCTACTAGAGGCCCAGTGCACGAAGTTCATGCACTAGGATGGGGGAGAGTCCCTCAGCCCAGCCTGTGCCCTCTCGAAGTCCGAGATCCACCTTGCTCTTAGCTGCCAGCCTGCTCACTGCTCCTAGCACTGCCAGGAAGGCAGGAGACATTCCCGCTACTGCCACTGCCACCGAGCTCGCCAGCCATGAACCATCAGCCTGGCTTCTGGCTTCTGGTTGAGCAGCGCTCCCCCTGTGGGAGCTCATTGACCACTGGGGGCAGCTCCTGCATTGAGCGTCTGCCCCCTGGTGGTCAGTGTGCATTATAGCAACCAGTCCTTCCGCTGGTTGCTCTGCTGTTTGGTCAATTTGCATATTAGGGTTTTATTATATAGGAGGATAATAATTTGATTTATATAAATCATGATAAATTGATTAAACAAGGCCATTAGACTGAGGTGGCTTTACCACTTTCCTTAATAGCCTATCTAAGCAATCCAAAACCTAACCTTATAATACCTTAAGGCTAAGGAATTGAAACCTAAGAACAATTAATCACAAACAGCCACCTAGGCTTTCCTGAAAAAGGTATCCACTTGAACTATTGCCAAACAAATGTCTTTTCTTTGCTTCCACCTCTTCTCTATGAAGAGTATTTCCCCTGAGCTCCTGTCATGTCCTGTTTAGTGCTGCCCATTTGAATCATTTGTTGCTTAAATGAACTCTTAAATTTTTAATGTCTCACTTTGTATATTAACAATCACGTAATACAAAATCCTCCTTTTAAAGTGTACAATATAGTTGTTTTTATATATTCATGGAGTTGGGCAACTATCACCACAATTTAACTTTAGAACACTTTCATTGCCCTAAAGAAAACCCCATATCCATTAGCACTCATTTTCCCACTCCCCCAGCAAACAAGTTTCTTTACAACAGAAATCCCTGGACCCTTTCATGGGATTCTAACATGCTTTTTGAATTTATAAGAAAGGGGTACAATGTGCAGTGTTACTCAAACTCATTTAATAGCCAACATCTTAGTGCTTACTATTATAAATGCTTTTCAGGTATTACCACAATTCCCACACCAAAAATTTATTACATAGGTAGCGATATATATATATATATATATATATATATATATATATATATATATATATATATCTGTGGATATTTATTATCCACAAATAAATGTGGATATTAAAGAACAAAAAGACTGAGGCTAAGTAACCTGTTCAAGTATTCTTAACTACTTCACTCTACTATCAACCACAGAACCAGTTAGTTGTGAGATGAGAATGAACCATGGACCATAACTTTGGAAATGCTTTAGTTCAGTATCTTTAATTTAATGAGACAAACGAGGCCCAGAAAGATAAGCTGATTTAGCAAGAACACAAAGCATTTTCTCTCTCTCTCTCCCCCCCACCTCCTTTGATTTCCATCTAATTGACAGCTAAATTTAAAACCCAATGCAATGAACTAATTAATCCCAGGCTCCTGACATAATTCTCTCCCTTCTTTAAAGACTTCCTTGCAAAAAATAAATAAATAAATAAAAAACAACAACAACAACAAAAATCCCACCAAAAACAACAACAAAACACACACACACACACACACACACACACACACACATCAAACAAAAACAACACAACCCCACAAAGCTTTAACACTGTAACCCGTCGGGGCCGATGTTGCTCTTCCTCGGAGTACGCTCTCGCGGTGAGAGTGCCCTGCTCCATCACTTTGGCGTGTACAGCGCCTAGTTGGAGGGTCAGTCCGTTTTCCTCCACCCGAGGCGGAGGTCAGCTCCCTCCCTCTGTGCACCCACAGCCCTTCATCTTCTCTGGACACCCCCCGCCTTGAATTCCACAGCGTGTGTGCTGCTGTATGCACCCCACTTTGTAGCCAGAGAATGACTGGAGGGCAGGTGTTGGCATCAACTCCAAACCCCGCGAAGGAGGCTCAATGAGTACCGAACATTTTCCTCTCCCCTTTTAGTTCAATTCCTCCGGAGCAAAACCAGAACTCTGCTGAGCCTGCCAGCCCTCAGAGCGCGCGGCGGGCTGAGTGTTTAGGGTCCTTAGTCGGAGCCGGCGCTGCCCATCCCCTCCCGGGACTCGGAACCGGCAGCTGTGGGGCCCGAGGTCCGCCCTTCGCACCCCGGCGGGGGTCCAGCAACAATAACGGGTCAGGGCGGCGGGGGGCTGGCGGCACCTCCCAGACCCGTCCAGCCCCCGCGACGGTCCTCGGCGAAGGCATCTCACCCTTTCGGGACCGAGACCCGACCGAGCCCGGCGAGGAGATGAGAGGGCGAACCGGAGTCCCCGGGCCGGTGGGTGGCAGAGCAAGGCCTCGAACCTGGGTCCCTGCTCCCAGCTCAGCGGACCTTTGGGGCGGGGAGAGCGAGGGTGGAGAGCGATCCTCGCACGTCCCGCTTCGGGGCACCCCTTCCCGCCGGGCCGGGAGCTCCGGCCCGGGGTCACCCGGCGCGGCCGGGGCTGGGGGGTCGCGCGCCCCCCCTCCCAGCCCGCGCCATCTTGGAGCGCTGAGGCGGCCGCCCCGGACCGCCCGCCGCCCCGGCAGTCAGTCACTCACCCGCACTGCCCGGGGCCAGGCCCCCCGCCACCTCCGCGACCCCCGCCACGGCCAGGAGAAGCGGCAGCGCAGTGAGCGGAGAGGCGCGGACGGTCGCCATGTCCCGGCCCGGAGGTCCGCCGCCGCGGGATGCTCGGACCCAGCCCGGCCGCCGCTGCTGCTCGCGGAGGCCCCGCCCCGCCGCCCTGGACCTTCGGTGATTGGCTGCGGCGTGATCAAGCCCCGCCCCTCGATCTGAAGGCGTTTCCGAAACCCGCGGGGGGCGGGAGCGGGCCGCGACCCCGGCCCTTTGTTGCGGCCCAGCTGGGAGCCGGCGTCCGCGGCGGGGACCCCTGCCTGCAGCCGCCCGGGGGGCAGTCGGAGCCGAAGGGCCTTCGGAACTCCTCCTCCACCTCCCGCGGCTTGCAGATAAGGTCCCTGAGGCTCAGAGAGGGGACGGACCTGCCCAAGACCACACCGCACGCACTTTTAGGAGAACTAAAGCCTGAGAACTAAGACCAAGTCCAAGGCTGAACCAGAGTAACTTATCCTTTTCGCTTACCCTCCAGAATCCTCCGTTTTTGTTTTTTTTTCACATTCAAAAATCACCAAATGATTTACTTGGAATCAGAATGAAAGAACATTTGACAGCCGAAACCGGTTTGGCTCAGTGGATAGAGCATCGGCTTGCGGACTGAAAGGTCCTGGGTTTGATTCCGGTCAAGGGCATGTACGTTGGTTGCGGGCACATCCCCAGTAGGGGGCGTGCAAGAGGCAGCTGATCGATGATTCTCATTGATGTTTCTAACTCTATCCCTCTTCCTTCCTTTTTTGTAAAAAAAAAATCATTAAAATATATTTTTTTTAAAAAAAGAACATTTGACATTGTTGAAATGTGTTTCTTCTGATACTTTTGATCAGATTATACAACTCATCTAGGACACATGACCAGAAATATTTTACATTTCTTCAGGACTGGGGTTTTTTCCATGACTTCAAATTTGGGATCTTCAAATCTGAAGTCTGGGAACATATTCTTGTCTACTTTACCATACTTATGGTTAAGCTTACAAAGCTCTCTCTCCATGTCTTGCTGATACTCTGAGCCAGCATTATCAGGTCCTCCAGATGACTGTCGCTTTGTTTTGTATTCCCCAATCTTGTCCAGGAAGAGTTTCTGTACCGGATCAAGCTCCTTATAATATGCCGCTGCGGTAACACACCAATATTCCTCCTCAAACGGACTGAGCCTGAAGACCGAATGACAGAAGAGAACCTGCAGAGCCTCTGAATCATGGTGACTGTACTCAGTCCCAAGCTGCCAGAGCCCCTGCCACCATCACTGTCCTACCCTCCATGATCCTCTTAATATCCTTTCTGCTCAGACACCCAAAGAAGGCTTGTCACCCAGGACAACTCAGCCTTCCCTAAAGTCTGAGGTCTGCTGCCGCAGACACGGTCCCCTGACACGGGCCCCAGGCAGATACACCCCCTAAGTTCTTTGACACGTGTGGCTTCCATGTGTCACTGATGTACTGTTAAGTACCTAATCCTATCAGGAAAAGGCTGGGGGAGGAATGCTTGTGTATCTCGATATGGAGAGCCTTGAATGTCAGGTTTAGACTTTCAGAGACAGTTTGGAGGTGGGACCCCACTTCACCCCTTACTTCTCCTTCCCTGCAGCTACATGTGGGGGAATGTTTGAAAGGGTACCGTGGCCAGCAAAGCTCTCGGTCTTCCTCTCTCAGTTCCTGAATTAATATCTTTTCCCTCTCCCTTCCCTTAAAAACAACAACAAAATATAACCAGAGTTAAATCCCTTCGTATCCTTAAATATGCAGTGTTGATGTTTCCCTTATTGTCTCATAATCTCCTTTCACAGTTTTTAAAGTTCCAAACAAAGCCCATATATTGAAATTGGTTTGTAGGTCTTTGGGTCTCTTTATACTTATTGTCTACGTTTACAAAAGGAAAACATGAAGAAGTTATGATAATCTTTCTAAAGCATCTGCTCTAATGGCAACTCTCTTGCTTCAAACTCTCTGAGAGGCCACCTTTTTTTTCTTACAGGATAGAATGACGAGCGATTATTTAACATGGTGTCAGAGGCTCTTAGCAATTGGACCCAAACATCCTTTTCCACATTATCTTCTCACCCTCCCTGTACTCCTGCCATCATCCTCTCAGAACCTCTTATCTTGTTCCAGACTTCTTAATTGATCTCACTCCTTTCACAACATGTATCTCCTCTGCCCAGAATTCCCCAATTCTTGGAACCTGGCTCAGCTGAGGGAACTAAGATGGTTGCTCTGGGTCCAACTGGGCCCTAGAAGGATCTGAGCAGAAAGAGGGCTTGTGTAAAATGACTGACACATCTTGCTTTGAAGCATAGTAACTTCCATCTTGTGTAAAAAACTGCTTTTTAAAATTCTCTGTTATTGTTAGATGATCCCTTGTTCTGTAAACTCTGTCATAAACGCTGTCACTTCAAGACCGTCTGTTGTTCTGTAAAATGACTTTGTCTTTTAGTACAAATAATAGAAAAAGATAAGCTTCGCTGTCTGAACTTGCAAGCTAGCCATCTACTGTAATAGCCTAAAATAGACTAATACTGATAATAATTCCAAATACTAACTCATTATGTATTGGAGGTTACAAACTAACTGTAACAATAACCTACACAGAGGTCTTTGTGAAACCTGCAAACAATGCTCAAAAGGCATAAATACTAGACACTTCCGCTATGATGGGACTCAGATTTGGGAAACACCTACCTCTGGTCTTTACTCCCTTTATTCCCTCAAGAATAAAGACTCCTAATTAATTGGCTCATTAAGGCATCTGGTATCTATCGCTGATTTATGATACAACAGCTTGACCCTGAATTGCCCTGGCTTTAAAACTGAAAGTCCTATATCCCATCAACTTCATTAGTCCCAGGCAAAATGGGACAGTTGGTCTCCTTACTTCTGTGCACCTCAGAAAATGCCATAAGCGAAGCCTACAAGGGGGTTTCTATATAGAAAAATGGGGTCATAAGCCACGGAGATGGGTCATTCGACCATTGCTCCCAGTATTAGTTTCCTAAGCTGCATGACAAAGGGACACAATCTGGGTGGCTTAAACAACAGAAATTTATGTCTCAAAGTTCTTGAAGTTTATATCTCTAAGTTCCTGAAACCAGAAGTCAGAGATCAAAGTGTTGGCAGGGTTAGTTCCTTTGAGAGCTGTGAGGAAATGCCTCTCCATTCGTTGCTAGCAATCTTGGGCATTCCTTGACTTGTGGATTTATCATCTTGATCTCTGCCTTCATGTTCATGTGGGATCCTCTTGTGTGCGTACGTGTCCGTCCAAATTTCTGCTTTTATGTGGACACCAGTCATATTGATTTAGGGGCCCACCCTTCTCCAGGATGACTCATCTTAACTAAATACATCTACAATAATCCCTATTTCTAAATAGGGCCACATTCTGAGGACCTGGGGGTTAGGAATTCAGTGTATGAATTTGGGGAGGGCAGCACACAATTCAACTCATAGCAGTAGCAAATGAAAGACCATCCACCTACCCCCTCAGAAATCATTGACTCTGAAGGAGAGGCTGAAGAAGGAAGAAAGGATAAGGGACTGCCCAGTTGCTGTTCAAAGATTCTAAGTTTCCCGGTAACAGTAGTTGAGCTCACCTTGGTTGACTCACAGAAGTGACACCTTATGCACAAAGGGAATGCTTGAATACTTGAAAAATCTCAGAGCTGTAGAATCAGAAAGGACTTCATTTTCAGGTAACTCTCATGAGATTGGCAGCAAAGTTGCTCTGGATGAGTCAAACAAAGCAGTTAAGCCGAGGGGCTCTCTGTTAGTAGAGACTATTTCTCTACTACCAAGATGTGTAATCGTGACAGACATGTTAGGAGAATGGCTAAATCTGAGTTGTGGAGAAACTAAGAGGAAGCAGCTTAAGATCTTCCCACCCAGAATGATGGCTGACCAGCTCCTGTATCCTGGGGGAAGTCAGAAAATAGGGAGACTGAGGTACTTCTTGGCCAAGCATTCTCCGGTTCAATATCTGGATCATTACCCCTCCTGTAAAGGGAGCCACTAAGCAGATGGGACCTGGAGACTCTATTGACTGTTATTGTCCATTGAGGCAAATAGCTGGACACTGGCCTCAGATATGGTCCATAGGCTTGAACAAATAGCAGATCCCTTTTAGATTATCTTGCTGTTTTGTGATGAAGCCAATAGCTTATTTCCAGTTTCCCTCTACTAAGACAACCCGAGCAGGTAGCTTTCCCACGAGATAGAAAGCAGCAATATAATTTACCAATAGTGGAAAGAGCATGAGTTTCAGATACACCTGAGTCCAAATTGCACTCTACACTGACTAGCTGTGTGACCTTGGGCAAAGTCTTTTGACTTCTCTTTCCTTTATTTTTATTAAAGAAGACATTGTAGCCGAAACCAGTTCGGCTCAGTGGATAGAACATCGGCCTGTGGACTGAAAGGTCCCAGGTTCGATTCAGGTCAAGGGCATGTGCTTTGGTTTCTGGCACTCCCCAGTGGGCGGAATGCAGGAGGCAGCTGATCGATGTTTCTAACTCTCTATCCCTTTCCCTCTCTGTAAAAAAATCAATACAATATAAAAAAGAAGACAACATTGTAAACGTGTCTCACATTCCAGTAAAACTAAAATTTGACATATCCACAAGTTTACTCAATATTCATGCAACTACATCAAATTTTATAGGCAACACATGGACTTTTACATAACAGAATTTGGCCTTTATAAACAAGCTTACCCGTAAGGTAACATTCATAATGTGGCATTGTTACTGTGTGGTCAGTTACATGTTCACTTGTTATTGTGCAATTGGTTGTGACACCATGAGGAGAACACGCACCAAGCAGATGACTCTGAGCCTCATCCGACCCTTGATTGAGAACAGTGCACATGTGTACGGCCTGGTACAATTATAAGCAAGCAGATGTGCATAGGCTTGGGATTAAAGAAAAGATCGGCGCAGAACTACACTTTTTCTAATAAGGACAACATTTATTTTACTTTATTTTATTTTTAAATTTTTAATATATTTTTTATTGATTTTTTACAGAGAGGAAGTGAGAGGAATAGAGAGCTAGAAACATCGATAAGAGAGAATCATTGATGAGAGAGAATCATCTATCAGTTGCCTCTTGCACAACCCCTACTGGGGATGTGCCCGCAACCAAGGTACATGCCCTTGAAAGGAATTGAACATGGGACCTTTCAATCTGCAGGCCGATGCTCTATCCACTGAGCCAAACTGGTTTTGGCTAATAAGGACACATTTAAAAAAGATAAAATAAATGCATGGAAAACGACATGAAAAGATTTATTCGGGCCGAAACCAGTTTGACTCAGTGGATAGAGCCTTGGCCTGCGAACTGAAAGGTCCCAGGTTCTATTCGGGTCAAGGGCATGTACCTTGGTTGCAGACATGTCCCCAGTAGGGGATGTGGAAGAGGCAGCTGATCGATATTTCTCTCTCATTGATGTTTATCTCTCTGATGTTCCTAACTCTCTATCCCTCTCTCTTCCTCTCTGAGAAAAATCAATAAGATATTTTTAAAAAAAAGAAAATATTTATTCGGAGACTATTAAGAGGCGGTCACTTTGCTCCACCAGTGTGGCTCAGTGGTTGAGCCTCAACCTATGACCCAAGAGATCAAGGTTCCATTCCCAGTTAGGGCACATACCTGGGTTGTGGGCTCCACCCCCGGTGGAGGCAGCCGATTAATGATCCTCTCTCATCATTGATGTTTCTCTTTCTCCCTCTTCCTTCCTCTCTGAAATCAACAACAACAAAAAAAATGTAGGGAAAAAAAAGGGTAATCACTTCAACAACACAAGGTGGTAACCAGTGTCAAAAATCAAAACAAAACAAGTTTGTGTGCGTCTGTTGTCTTACTACACATTAAAAGCTATTTAAAATATCTATAAACTCGCCAAAACCGGTTTAGCTCAATGGATAGAGTGTCGACTTGGGGACTGAAGGGACCCGGGTTCGATTCCGGTCAAGGGCATGTACCTTGGTTGCGGGCACATCCCCAGTAGGGGGTGTGCAAGAGGCAGCTGATCGATGACTCTCTCATCGATGTTTCTAACTCTCTATCTCTCTCCCTTCCTCTCTGTACAAAACCAATAAAATATATTTAAAAATAATAATAAAAATAAAATATCTATAAACTCAAATCAAATACTTGAGGGACCTCCATTTGGGAAGAGCTTGATTTTTGCTCGATCAGACTATATTATTTAAGCAGTTTTTTTTTGTTTTGTTTTATTTTTTTAACAATGTATGCTTCAACATGTCTGTTTTAATTCTGATACCTCCTTTCATGCTCTCTTCCACAGCTGGAATAAACATGTCATTCTGTTCTTTTTTAGCTTTTTGAAATCACGATGTTTTATGTTTAATTCTAATTCATCTGAGGTTTATGGGAACGTATGGTGTGATGTATGGATCAAAGGCAAACCTTCATTCAAGTGAATATTGTTGTTGTCCCACTCATTATTAAAAAGTGTTTCCTTCTTTGTGCTATTAATTTTGATGTGGCATGTACATATTAAATCTGAATGGTTGGAATTTTCTGTTATCTTTGATACCACTGATTAAAACTTAATAAACAACAGTGGTGTATAATTTAGTAGTTGTTACTTCGTAATAAGTTCAAATTTGATAGGAAGAATCTAACATTGTTACCTTCCAAAGAGCCTCCTATTGTGCAATTGTTCTTCACTAGCAAGGCATGTAGTTCGGTAGAGTGTTGGGGAATTATAAATACTAATTATGTCTCTAAGGCCAGGTTTCCTATTGGCCTTACCTCAGACATAGCAAAACACAAATTTTGAGGGGTAGAGCCTTGGGATAAGCATATTAGAGGCGGTTACTTTGCTCCACCAGTGTGGCTCAGTGGTTGAACCTCAACCTATGACCCAGGAGATCAAGGTTCCATTCCCAGTTAGGGCACATAACTGGGTTGAAGTTCTTCTGTTTGTTACAATTTGGGAGCTTAAACTGTAGACATTTAGGTCATTTTTATTATATTTCTCCTTCCAAGCCCTCTCTGCCTTACTTTATATTCACATAACACATTTAAAAAAAAATTGACTCCATCTGTCATGTCTAGATTGTGTTTGTTCCAAAATGTTTGATACTTACTAGTATAAACATTATTTTTTTTTCTTCTATTGATGATATGTAGAAACATATCATCAATAGAAGAAAAATACAATTGATTTTTGAGAGGTTATTTCTATCTCCTTCAAGTTTTCTGAACACATATAACTGCGAATAGCTTTCTGGTTAATTTTTTAGAAACACAAGAATAGTGTTTTCTGCAAAATTTGACAGTATTTCTTCCTTTGCTATATGCATGCCTCTTATTTTGCATTTGAGCACATTTGTACATCTATTTGCTTTTGTGCACGTTAGAGCTATGTGAATAGGAATGCATCGTTTCTAGACTAGCATGTAAGAAGCTTGGAGTGGCCACTGCTAGCAAACAAAAAGATGAACATGTTGGTAAAGCAACAATTCTTAGATCCATAAAAGAAGTGAGGTCAGAGGGCAAACTGTTGCCCTGGCATTGGAGAGACCAGGCTGGGTTGCTGGTGCCAGAGGACTTGGCCCACAGCAGGAACTTCCGCACGGGAATTGCTTCCCTGCCTCTTCCTTCCGTCCCTCAGCCCTGACCCCGAGTCTCCCAGGACCTGCTGCTCGGAGTGTGGCCTGCAGAGCAGCAGCACAGGCATCGCCCAGAAACTTGTGAGAGACGTAGAGTCTCAGATCCCACCTCAGGTTCACTGAGTCCAAATCTGCATTGCCACAACATCCTCAGGTAACTCATGAGCACATTAAATCAAGTTCAAGAAGCTCTGTCCTCAGCAGCTTGCAGAAATGTCCACCAGATGGCAGGATTGCAGTAGGCATTAGCGGCAGAGCCACAATCGGGCACCAAGTCTCCTTCGAATAATACCCTAAACGGCACTAGAAGTTTGGAGCCATTGCCCACGAGCTGTGGAAAGCATGGATGGGAGAGCGAGCCCAGAGGAGAACCCCATTCAATGAGTGGCAGGTTGTGGCGTGTGAGCCATGAATTCCCCCGCTCTGGGCTTGCCCCAGCTGTTTCCACATTCATTGTCTAACGAGAGGGATGGAATGATAACATCTCATTTTTTACAGACAAGGAAATCGAGACCTAGACACTTAGCCGAGCATTCAGCAGTGGCAAATGGTGTTGGAGACAGAACTGGAAGGCAGGTCTCTGGCTGCCTGGCCTAAGCTGAGGGCACCTCTAGAGAAAATTGGTTCAGGTGCTGACCTGGGCCACCTGCCTACCCCACTCCTGATCTCCCCCTCTTGCCCCCACCCCCCTCCCCACAGCTGCTCTTTTAACAGCTATCTGATTTTCCTTGGGAGTGCTAGAAACAGCTATTTTGATAATTCAATTTGGAAGGTGAACGGGCTTTCCACAATATTAAGGACACTGGACTTAACCTTCGAGGGAACAAAGCATCAGGTGTAATTTGGAACGGACAGGACCAGCCCTGGTCCCCAGAGGGTCCTCTGGGAATTCCGATGGGCCTGAGTCTGTGGCTAGTACCAGCTGTGAGCCTCTGACTCTTCCATCAGCTTTCATCCCAACCTACTTACTCTTGCTGTTTTCGTTATAAGAACAAAGATTCACTTGCACAAGCTCAAGTGAATTTTTTTCTCATATTTCCCCCCCCACCCCAAGAATCCATTTGTACTAATTAGGGAAATCACATAGAATTCAAGAATATAAGTCTTTTTTTCTTCTTCATTTTCAAAGGTAGTTTTATTTGGATTTTAAAAAAATATATGTAATTACTGGGTTAATACGGTTTCTTTGAATTAGACCCTTACTTTCCCCTGAACGGTCTTCTTCATGAATTCACAGTCTCCTTCAGTGCTTGGGAACAGTTCAAGTTGGCGGCTGACTCCCGAATTTTCCAGAAGCCAGGAGGCAGCAGGGGTTGCCCGAGAGTTTCCTTTGGTTCCCTTGCCCTTTCCCAATGCGGTACGCGCTGTGCATGTATGTATGGAAGCTCCAGGTCCACCTCCTCGGGGGGCACAGCTCTGCTCTCACTGCTTCCGGGGCTTCTCAAGGAAGAAGGGCGGCCTAATGAGTGGCGGCCAGAAGCCCGTGTCATGGGAGGGACTTATGGCGGGGCTCAAAGGGACCTGGGTGAGGAAACGGATACCAGGAGCCATCATCTTTCCTCACTGCGCACGCACACACTTGCTACGTAAGCAAAGCAGTGAGCAGCTTCAGGCTTTGGGGTCCTACAAACACGTGTCTGAGTGGGAGAGGGGTAATGGGAGATAGGAAATGAGTAGGGGGGTGGGGGAGCTGGAGACCCCATTAAGGAGAGGGGAGAGAGCGGTAATTCCCTCTCTGCTTGCCGACCTGCTTCCTCTTTTGGACGCAGCTGAAGATCTCCTTAAAGAGCACCTTGTATTTGGGAAGTGGCATGCTGGTGCTGGCTCCAGCGCGGGCTGGGGCCCTGGCAGCCTGCACAGCCTTGTGGGACAGTGAGTCCCCCATCTGCTGCTCGCACTTGGTCAGCAGCTCCTCGTACCTGGCCTTCAGGTCGCTATACTGTGTGTCGAGTTCCTGCAGCCGGGAACTCTGCTCCACAGCCTTGGCCTTGGGGAGGCAGGTCCCCTCGTGGCTCTTCCCGATGTCCCCGCCCGCCAAGCTGCTCAGCACCGTCTCGCTGCTGCTGCTGCTGGGCGGCAGGGGCCTCTGGAGGGGCCTCCGCTGGGCCTCGGGCACAGTCAGCATGGGCATCTCTTCCCCCCGCAGGCTCTGGCCGGGCTCTCTGAAAGGGACCAACAGGGAGCCGTGCACCAGCTTTTCCGCCACGAGGGGGCGCCCCAGCTGCAGCACCCGCCGGATTTCAGCCACCGCGGCCTCCAGCTCCAGCGCCCGGGCCCGGTAGCCGCGGGCGGCGCCCAGCTGCTGCCCCAGCTCCTCGTTCTTCCTGAGCACCAGCCCGAACTGCTCCTCCAGGGCGCCCCGCCGCTGCTGCTCCAGGCTCAGCCGCGCCCGCAGCGTCCTCAGTAACTTCTTCAGGTGCTTGTTTTCCTCCGTGTAGTAGAGGCTCGGCGGGCCGGGCCAGGAGGCCACCGTTTCTGCAGCCTCGAGGTCATCCTGCTCACGCAGCTCCTTCCCGCCCCCCGAGCCGGGCGCGGGCGTGGGGCCCCGCCAGCCTTGGCCCAGTGACTTCAGCTCCTCCACTTGGGCCTGGAGCTGACGGGTGCTGGCCTGCAGGTTTTTGATCTTCTCAGCCAGACTCAGGAACTTGTGCCGGGAGGCCGTGCTGCCCGCCGCCAGCTGCCGGGTGGCTTCCTCCAGCTCCCGCGCCGTGGCCACGAGGTGCTCGTGCACCTTCGCCCCCTGCTCCTTCCCCTGCGGCGGCAGCTCCATCGGCACGGCCGGGGCCTCCGTTTCCCCGCAGCTGCTCCTTCCTGACGACGGGCTGTGTGTGCATCTGCTGGGGACAGTCCTCCTCCGCCTCCGCTCCCACCCAGGGGTGTCTTCCCAAGCTCAGCAGCTGGCGGGAGGGCCTGCGGGATGGAGGTCTCAGTGGTCGCACCAGGGCGCGGCCTCCCGTTTCTCAAACTCCTCGGCCGCGTTGCCCGCCAGCATCTCGGCCGCCGACGATGTCTCCCCGGGGGCTCCGGCCCCGCCTCAGTCCTGCCTCAGCCTCTGCCCGGGATGCTCCCCGACCCCTCAGCCTCCAGCCAGAACCGTTAGCCTCGCGCCGCCCGGCACCCCGCCCCCTCCAACGGCCTCAGTTCTCTTAAGGCTTCTGTTCTTGGAGGGGCTGGGTCGTGGCTCTGGCTGGGGCACTTCGGCCTGGTGCCGGCCGTTGGGGGTCCTGGCCGGGTGGTTCAGTGGATTGGAGCATCATCCCATTCATCAGAAAGTTGCGGGGTCATTTCTGGATCAGGGCGCATACCGAGGTTGTGGGTTTGATCTCCTGTGGGGGCACATGCAGGAGGCATCCCGTCGATGTTTCTCACGGAGAGGATTAAACAATTGGGGAGGAAGCAAAGGGTTATAAAAATCTTTATGTTCAACCCTGTTATTATTTTGTTTTAAATCCTCACCCAAGGATATTTTTTCTATTGATTTTTTTTTTTTTTTTTTTTTTTTTTTAGATAGAGTGAAAAGGAGGGAGGAGGGGAGAGAAAAAAAAAAAAAAAAAAAAACCCACAACAACGTTGAGGTAAGAGACATGCAACCGAGGTACATGCCATTAACTGGAAATAGAACTTAAGATCTTTGGGTCCTTAGGCTGTGGCTCTAACCATGCAGCCAAACCAGCCAGGGCCCCAGTCCTCTTATTAACCATTACTAAGACTTGCTTTAACCACATCATAAGCAGCGAATTAGATGAAACCGCAAAACAAAGACAAATGCAGAGTCAGCACAGAGAATAAGTGAGAAGCAGAGGCCCCAACAAGGAGCCCCAGACCCACCCTGTGTCCGGTTGCTCCCCCCTCCCGGGCTACCACCACTTTTCCTTTCCCAGCAGAGACCCCCTTCACCACCACCCCCCTGGGTGGTGAGGAGGCTGGGATTGTGGTCACCTCAGGCCCACAGGGAACTTCCTCCAGGATAGGTCACATGACATGTCAGGTTATAAAACCAGTCTTAACACATGTAACTCTGAACGAACTCACATCTTTTCTGATCACAATGGAATGAAACGAAAACTCAATAGCAGAAGGAAAACTGGAAATTCACACACACGTGGAAATTAACACACTCCATTGGGTCAAAGAAAAAATAAAAAAGGAAATTAGAAAATAAATACATCCAGACAAATAAAAACACACACCACAATACACCAAGCGTATGGGATGCAGCAGAAGCATCCCATCAGAGACAGCTCATTCCAACAGCTAACACTGACAGCTGCTGCTAATGGTCTTACTGCAATCTTTGACTAATTGGAGCTAGATTAAAACTTCCTCAGATTACCTAGCCAAGGATTATAAATGATTAAAAAGCAAGGGAGGCAATTTTAAATCTTTTTTTTTTTTTTTAGGAAATATTTGAAAGCATTTTTGGATATTAGTTTATCGGACATGGTTGTGAGAGATTTTTGTTTATTCATGTATTCTTTTCACAACAGGAAGTCAACATGTGGGAAATGACTGATTGAAGTAAAGGTCTGTGTACAGGAAATAACTGAGTTATGTTAGAGAGAAAGCTTAAATTGGGCAGCACAATTGTTATTAATTTTTTCCCATTTAAATTATAAAACCACACAAAGACACACGTATGTGCAGTAGGTTTATATAGAAAAGAATCTGGTAATCAATAATATAAGAATACACTCTGTGTTTTGCATCCTCACAACTAAACCTAATTTTACCCTATTCTGTACACCATTCTTAACAGAGATGCCATTTTCAATACAAAGATTTTTTTTGATATTTTAGATAATACAATAACATTAGTAGGTAATATGGATTCCAAACATCTTTTCTCCCCATCCCCCCATTCAAATAGGTTTTAAAAATATAGACAGCAAAAGAAAATGAATATAACTTTGGAGGTACCTATCAACCAGGAAGAGGAGGAAGCTGATTTTTTTTTTAATTATTATTTTTAAAAATATATATTTTATTGTGTTTTTGTGTTTGTTTTTTTTACAGAGAGGAAGGGAGAGGGATAGAGAGTTAGAAACATTGATGAGAGAGAAATATCGATCAGCTGCCTCCTGCACACCCCCTACTGGGGATGTGTCCACAACCAAGGTACATGCCCCTCACCAGAATCGAACCTGGGACCTTTCAGTCCACAGGCCGACTCTCTATCCACTGAGCCAAATAGGCCTTGGCTAAAAATTATTATTTTTAAAAAATTATTTTTATTATTTGAGAGAATCACCGATGTCCCTCTTCCTCCCCTATTGACCCCCCTGGGGAGGGAGCTGATTTAACATGGGCATAAGGGAGAAAAGAAAAAGAGAAAACAACAACCTACTATGTACTGATAATAGGTAAAGGACTGGGATTTGGTAGTGATAGACTTTTACAAATCTAAATTTAAGAGGATGAACATGACCTCTGGAAACACACACTGTTTCAATACGTTCATGGGGAGTCGGGGGAAGCTGTGGACTCAGAGCTCTGGGAAGTGGGCCCGGGCCAGGCTTTCCTGAGCCGCTGGTGGTAAGGAGTGACTGTGACCGCCCGCCTCCTTCGTGGTGGAAGTACGAATGCTTTCTGCATTTGCTTCCCCACAATCTTTTTGGGGTTTCATCGTAATGTGGCATTCCTGGAGTGTGAGCTGGGTGTGTGTAACTGCCATCCAGGTGGCACATCAGCTGCATGGATGAGAGAGGGGAGCGGCTGGCACTCGGCCATGGAACCCTCTAGTAACTGCCGCAGTGAGGCGGCATGTCTGCCTCTGGGCTTCTCCGCACTGACGATAAAGAGGAGACTATGGCCCAGCTGGCATGGCTCAGGGGTTGAGCATCTGTCTGTGAACCAGGAGGCCATGGTTCGATTCTGGGAAAGGGCCAGATGCCTGTTTCTCGATCCCCAGTGTGGGGCCTGCAGGAGGCAGCTGATCAATGATTCCCTCTCATCATTGATGTTTCTATCTCTCTCCCTCTCCCTTCCTTTCTGAAATCAATAAAAATATATTTTAAAAAAGATAATATGGTGAATGACAAGATTCCATTAGATCAAAACCAAGCAGCTGCTCAAGATAAGTCATGCTAATATTATATATGAATGGCATGCCTGCCATGGCGCAAATGATCTCTAACATACGTTGAGGCAGATGACATTTTTAAATTGGCCCCTGTATCAGATAGACTAGAGCAAAGGTCTTTGGAATGAGACCAGAGCAGAGTAAGCAGCAGTTCTACACAGGGAAACAGAATATACTCTAAGGCTACTCAAAGTTTTGTTTCTTTTGACCACATTAGTAATGCTTTATAGCTATTCATCAAGTTCTGGTATCATAGGATTTAAGATTTGGGCAGCAAAATATAGCTATGATATGATACAGTGCAGTTTCATAGGAAGCCAACCAACTAATCAGCAGGGCCAGAAATGAAAAGGCTCTTCCCACCGATAGCCAAGAACCTCCCTGGGTTACCATGTTCCCACAGGTGCAATGAGGAGTTTGGAGGCCTTGCATGCTGACAGTCTGGGAAGCTGTGACCGTCACTTAGTCAGGTGTTTCTGACGCACCAGGTTCCTCACAGCAGCCTTCACGTCCTTGTTCCTCAGGCTGTAGATGATGGGGTTGAGCATGGGGGTCACCACCCCATAGAAGAGGGAGATGAGCTTGTCTGAAAGGTCCTGTTTGTCTGTCCCCTGAGAGTCCTTGGATTTGGGTTTCCCGTACATGAAGAGGATGGTCCCATAGAAGACGACCACGACGGTGAGGTGGGCAGAGCAGGTGGAGAAGGCCTTTCTCCTCCCCTCCGCCGAGGGGATCCTCAGGATGGCGGCCATGATGAACACGTAGGAGACGAAAATGAACAGGACCGGGATGCCCAGGAAGATCATGTTGGCCACCACCATGCTGAGCACATTGATGGAGATGTCAGCACAGGCCAGCTTCAGGACGGCCAGGATCTCACAGGTGAAGTGGTTGATGATGTTGTCCCCGCAGAAGGGCAGCCTCATGGCCTGGGATGTCTGAACTACCGAGTTGGTGATACCGGCTGCCCAGGAGCCGGCAGCCATGGGCACGTAGGCAGCCTTGCTCATGACCACGGGGTACCTCAGGGGGTTGCAGATGGCCACGTAGCGGTCGAACGCCATCATGCCCAGAAGCACACACTCCGTGGCCCCCATGGCAAAGGAGAGAAACATCTGCACGGCGCAGGCCGAGAAGGGAATGGTCTTCCTGGGGGTCAGGAAGCTGTCCAGAATGAGGGGCACGGAGGAGGTTGTGTAGCAGATGTCCAGGAAGGAGAGGTTGCCCAGGAAGAAGTACATGGGGGTGTGCAGGTGGGGGTCAGAGATGGTCACCAGGATGAGGACCCCGTTGCCCAGCAGGATCACCAGGTACATCAGGAGGATGAGCACAAAGAATGTCTTCTCCAGCTTTGGGTGGGCAGAGAGGCCCAGGAGAATGAACCCCACCCCTGGGGAGGTCTGGTTGGACTTGTCCATGTTTAACTACTCTGTCACTTGCAGTAACTCAGAAGGTCAACCTCAGCACTCTCTGACTCCACACGTGCCTGGCCAGCCAGGCAAAATCCCCACCCAGCTGAGCCACTGGAGAAGAGCGCTGACAATGTGGTCATCGCTGCAGGATTCTAGGAAAAAGGTAGTAGAGATCAATATTTAGCTTCTGCTTTCAGTAAGAGCAAACGCATTAATTTGGACTAACTTTCCTGCAGATGGCAACTATAAACACTGGACAAGCTATATCAAACATTTGTG